GTTTAGTCCATTTCAGAGATATAGAGTCAGTAGCGACTTCAGTCACAGAAAGATTGCGGACCATCTCTGGTTCTTTAAATGAAAAATACATGTAAATTCATGGTATAAAGTTTCAGGCCTTAACAGCAGAATCCTATTGCTACTTAATGCCATTAAGCTCGACACTAACACAAGTTGAAGGTCTGCATATCATACGGAGGTTTGTTTAAGAGTATTAAGACATCCAACAAAAGCAAAAACTAAACAAGGAAAGAACCGAGTCAAAAACCAGTGAGACATAAACAATGTCAGAAAACTAACAAAACATCAAACAAAGTATAAGAAACAGAGAATTGTAGTGACTCACAAAAACTGAAGTCCTAAAGTTAATCACACTTACTGTCTTTGCACATGTCTGTTTTTTTAGGTATCAGTGTGTTTTCTTTATCTGATGTAGGAGAAACTTACTTGTGTAGGAAGATACAAAGACACTGGCTCCTTCAGTACGATTATCAGCAGCTACAGCAGTGACATTTATGTCATATTTTGTACCAGCAGTCAGGTTAGTAATAGTAAGTTCTGTTTCAGCTGATTTCAGCGTCTTATTCCCATTAATCAACTCTACTTTATAGAAGGAGCTGCTTCCCAAAGGTTTAGTCCATTTCAGAGATATTGAGTCAGTTGTGACTTCAGTCACAGAAAGATTGCGGACAATCTCTGGTTCTTTAAATGAGAAATAAAATTACATTAATGGTAGAAATCAATAAAACAGTTACGTTTTGAATTAAACATCATATTGCCATCAGTCCATTCCACTTCATAGAATGAGCTTTTTCCTAATGGTTTAATCCAGGTCAGAGATGTAGAATGATTTGACAAGTATTTAATCTGCAGAAACAGGCAAATAGAAAGGAATGAGAGTTGACAAGCATTACTGTGCCATTTACTGGCCAGGAGGATTTCAAATGGTTGCTATAACCTTTAAAATCTCATCACTACTTTCTTTTTTTAACATAAGTCTGTTTCTTTATCTCTGCAGACAGGCATCATAACTGGTAACGATCTTTCCTACAGATATGATATTAAGTCTCCTTTGCTGCCAATATAATTGATCACTCTACAGAAAGAGATGAGGAAAGAAAGATGGTTGTTTCCTGGTTTTTAAAAAATCATTTTTAAATTGAATGGTATTTCATTTTTAAATTCTATCCATCCATTCATCCACACATTCCATCCACCCAACCACCCATCCATCCATCCATCCATACACCCACCCACCCATCCATACACCCACCCATCCATCCATCCATCCATCCATCCATCCATCCATCCATCCATCCATCCATCCATCCCTATAGTTAATCTATAGTTACTGTATACTGCTTGCCAGATATCAGTTAAGTTGTGGTCAGAAATGTTCTAGATACATTTTTCTTATCCTTTTTTCTCCACCTGTCCATTGACCTCTATAGAAACAGCTGCTTCTTTGTGGTTAAGTCCATTTCACAAACACAGATAATGTGGTTTTATGAATGAAACCAATATCTGTGATTATATCAGGCTCTGTGAAATTAAAAAGATTACGATACACACCCCCTCGAAAAAAAAAGAAAAAGAACAATAACAACAAAAACAGTAAGCTCCTTAATCCAAATGATGATCTTACTTGTAAACTGACACACCATGCTCTGATCACTTTCCATTATTCCTCCAGCTACTGCTGTGACATTAAAACAGTAATGCTCCCCAGGATTCAGCTCATTAATGGTCACATGTGTCTCAGTTCTATTCAAGGTTTCAGTTTTCCACTTTACTCTAAAAACCAGCGATTCACCCGCTGGTTGTATATTCCAGTTCAGAGACACAGAGGTGGTTGTCACACCAGTGACATTAAGACCGACGACTGCTTCAGGTTCTGTTAGTAACAGACAGCAATGTAAGCAAGCAAAAGTCAATTGTTATGCAAATATCACCTTTCACATTATGACTTTGAAATGATATATTATCAGTCAAAAACAATATTCCATTGTATTCATATCTCGACTTCCTTGCACTCAGTTAAAAACAAATAAAAAGTTTGACTTACTTGTATAGATTTCCTTAGTGGCATGCTTTCCTTCTTTATGATCATGAGACGCAACTGCAGTTACATTTATGGTATACAGGGTCCCAGAATTTAGAGCTGTGATGATTTCTATGGTTTTATTCACAGTCTTATTTCTGACATCATTTCCATCGGTCCAGTATAATCTGTAGTGGGAATCCGCTGTTGGGCTCCAGCTCACTTTCACAGAGGATGTTGTGATCTCTGACACTGTGAGATTCAACACTTCTTCAGGTCCTGTAAACCAAACACACTTATTAAACAAATAATTCTTAAGATTACAGATATATAGCATCGTAGCAATATAGCACAATCTGCATTTGGGCTATGCACTCAGAATTATAGCATTGTTAAAAAAACTAACAAAAAAAAACAGTACATTTTAATTCTTTGCCTTCTTTATATCATGACACTTAGAAAATAATGCTTTACATACAAACTTTAAAATTTAACGTGATAAAGGTAGCATCAAATGTTAAAACACACCCCTATTCGTAGTTGGTTGAGCTGTACTAGTTGTAGTTGCAGTTGTTGTGGTTGTAGTTGCAGTTGTTGTGGTTGTAGTTTCAGTTGTTGTGGTTGAAGTTGCCGCTGCTGTGGTGGTAGTTGAGGCTATTGTGGTGGTGGTTCCTTCTGTAGATATTTTTTTAAGATAATAAAAGACAAAAGAGGAGTAGAAGAAGAGATGCATCCATTAAAAAAGCTCAACAGAATCACCTCAGCTATTGTCCTTGGTGATATGAATACAACTAGTAAATTAAAACTTGATAATGTGTTTTATGGGAAATTTTCTTAAATTCATTTTCAAAGAAAATGGAAAAAAAAACATAAAAATAAGACGTGTAAAAAAAATGATCGCTTACCATTCTGTGAGTGAATGTTCTGTAATAAAAGACAGAAAACACATGTATTGAAGAAATTTAAACCAGGAGGGGGCAGCATTTAGCTATAGACAGACACCATCAATTTTTTACCTTTACAGAGAGCTACATAACTTTACAACTGATGAGGTAAATAAGAAAAAAGAAAAAATTAAGAACTAACACAGATTAATTTATCAGTTTTTTCTTCATCACATTTTCTTAACTGTATATCCCCTACTTAAATATGAACACTCAAAGGGTCCTCAATATGTCTAAAACTCAGATCCAAAACACGCGGATAGTGACCTCCCTCAACTTTTCTGTTCTGATTTATTTGAAGGCATTACTTATTTACTCCTGTCTCAGTCTTTCTTGTATATTTATGGTATAAAATTGGACTTACTTAAACCCTACTCTTTATGGAGTGGTCTTTCAATCACAATGTATTTGGCATTACATTCCATATTTCATATTTTCAATCAAATATGACTAATTATGCCTCAGAACATTTGTAGAATTGTTTTGCATCAATTGCATTATGTAAAATCAACTTAATAATATATTTCTTCATATTGGAAAAAAGAATATCATCAGGATAAAGACAAATTATTATTTTTTTATTTAAATCTTCATTTTGTTAAGTTGCAGCTGTTAGTGGTTAAATAAATATACCAATATGTGAAAAATACTTTAAAATAATTAATGTCATCACAAAGAATACCAGGAATTCAAATTTCCATCCCACACATATTTATATACAGCAAGAATTTGGGATACATTTTTTTCTAGCATATTTCTGGTTATTAATTAGACTTTTTTTTATTATTATTCTTGAACCTTTGTGAGGTTGACCATCACATTTTTCTATTTAAATCTTGGCACAATCTTAGTGGGAAAACTGGTATGTGTTGGTAATCAGTTACCTATAAATTAATCAAACATTACCTAGACTAAACCAGGAAACATTTCTAATTTGAAGAATATGTAGCACAGAGGTACACTTGTCTTTACAGTTTGATGTTTCTTTTAAAAAATAGATTTCGCAATTTAATTTAAATTAATAAATTAAGTTTATAGAATTACAGCTATAGCTTTTTTCTAAACAAAAATCCCAAAACAAATAATTTCAATCTTTCTTTGAGGCCAAAAATTCTATTTGTTATCTTAATAAATAATAATAAGAATAATAATAATTTAACTTTATTGATCTCACACTGGAGAAATTTACCTCTGCATTTAACCCATCCCCTTAGGCAGCAGTGGGCTGCCATTGTGCGACGCCCGGGGAGCAGTGTGGGGTTAAGGGTCATGCTCAGGGACCAAGAGTGCAGGCTGTGGAGATCAAACCGGGTACTTGCAACCTTCTCGGAGCACTGCTCTAACCACAAGGCCAACACTCCCCACACTTGTGTCACAGCTTTAAAACTGCAGCTTCGCACAACCCCGTTTTCAATTCACCTCTAGATTTACTCTGGTCTGAAGGAATAACACATTGGTCTGATTCAATATTACTTATTAGCTCAAATTCAAACAAGCCTTCTCGACTGTTTGCTCCTCAGCTGATCATTAAACACATGGCATCATCGCAAAAACCTGCATCATGCATCCCACACAAAGAATGCAAAGAAGGGTGAATGATTAGCCTACAGCACAGATAGATGTTATGGCATTAAAGTTAATACTTTTCAGTGAATAAGCTCATTTGGAAATATGCCAGCCTGAGAGATGATGTTTCATATTTCATAAAAAAAAATGTAACAGTTGAGAGTTAAATTAAAATATTGCTGGTCATGCCTAAGCTGGATTAAAGTGTAAAAAACAGAAGTGACTAAAAAATACGCATAGACATAAATATCTCAAACATGACCAGGAAACAGAACATATTTTTCTATTAATCCACTGCAACCGAAGCATCAGAACAAAGGCAATTCTATTTTTTTTTTCTCTTATTCCCCAAATGGAAAAAACAATCTCCTGTCTGACAATCAAAGTTTTCCCACTGTTTTAATTAAGTTTATTTGATCAGTGAACTATGAAACTAAATTCCTCTAACAACTTTCACCCTGAGAGGATGAAAAGCACATATGAGGAAGTATAGCTGTGGGGGACTGTACCTTTGCTGTTTGTTTGCTTTCAGCTGGTTAATGGAGATTAGAGATTTCTCTTTGTCTGTAGACATCTTTAAATGGTGGTAAGATAATGATCAACATCCCAGGGACAGTTTACACAGGTTCACAAGTTTGCTAATTTCATGCTTAAATTCCCCCCCAACTTAATCTATATATTTCATATTAATGCAAGTATACCCAGCTAATATTTTAATGAAAAAGTAATTCATTTCATTATACACTTAATACATCCTCATCTGTTATGATCCATATTTCAACAAAAGCAAATATCGTGCAATTTGGTCCGCTTTTTTTGGTTTCTTTAGGTATGTTTTTCTACAAATACCAACGACGCAGTGAGTCATGCAATGCGTCCCATGTGTTAAAGACTTCTAAAGGAAAGAATGAGCTGGAATAGCTATTTAAATTTTTTTTCTTTTCCATTTGCCAACAGAAGGATATAGGTCAACAAAATATGCGAAAGCAAAAGAAGATTATCATTACATAGTGTCAAAGCAAAAGGACAAAAACATTTGAAATGAAGCTTTATACGTCTGTAGTAAGTTGATGAGTTATTAAGAAGCAAGAAGGGATTTGACACTCATTTTGCAGTTGTCCCACAAATATCAATTGGAAGTGTAATGATAAATAAAGATAATTATAATACCGTATAACCTCTATTGCAACTAACTTTAACATAACTGACAGCTGCATCTTAGCTTAACATTACAAAATTGCTGCTTTTTGCTGTCATTTCCAATTATTAATAGCTTAGAGAGTTAAACAGGACTTCTCTTTTGCTTAGCTTTGTATTCATGACAGTATAGTAAAATAGGCATCTTTGTATAATCAACCGGTTCTAAACATACCATGAGTCATACACTATCTATACTCAGTTGTTCTTCCTCATAGGAAGTATATGTGATCAGTTTTCGTTTGATTAACTATGTCTCCATCCTAAATAAAGCCATCAATTAAGCATTAGCTTTGTGTTCTTCATCCTTTTTTTAGTGGAATATATGCCTAACCAAATGTTTTTTTTATTTTTATTTTTTTATAAGCTGTGTTTGTTTCTCGAATGGAGCTATGGATATTGCAATCAGTGGCACGTAAATATGACTCAGAAATGATGTATACTAAATTTAGTAAAGATGGGACTAATATTGCTGCAGGCCCTGAAAACATCCCAGGGCTAGTACTAAGAGACTGTCCACACCAGCTTTCTAAAGTGTTGGTGGACATCTTTAACTGCTCACTGTCACTGCCATCTATCCCAACCTGGTTAAAGTCCACGGTGACAGGCCGACCTATAGCTTTGAGATGATAGTCTTAACCTAATCAAGGACTCCATCAATGTTGCTGTGGACCCACATCAGTATGCCTCCTGTACAGAAGGAACCGATCCATGCCACCTCATCACTGTGTGGTATGGCAGCTGCACTGCTGTTGAAAGGATGGCTCAGCAGACGGTTGTTAAGGCTGCTTAGAGGGCTGTAGGGAGCTGCCTTCCCCCCATCTTCGCCCTCTACACATCAATATGCAGAGGGAGGGGGCTCTGCACCATGATGGACTTCAGCCATCCTACATACAGACCGCTTCACCCTCTCGCCTCAGGCAGAAGGAGCATCCAGAGAAAGACCACCAGGTTAAGAAATGGGTTCTACCCTGCAGCTGTTGGACTGCTGAAACTGCACTTCATTCAGCGTCATCTTTTACAGTTCTTATATTTCACACTTATTAAACTGGGAAATTAGTTCAAATTCTGTAACAAAAAAACCACAACTTGAATAATCACATGCATCTGCTTGGCAAACAACAGCACTAAGTAAGCTCACCATTATAGTGCTGAAAATTGTGCACTCAAAAATTGATGTTTTGCATACTGTTGATGTCTGTACAGCACCATGTCTCCAGTAAAGCCGCACTGCTAGTTTTCACAATTACAGCATCACTATTTTTACTTGTAATCTGTGCTAAAGGTTGGCTTTTCTTTTCCTGTATATGATGGAAATATTTTGTAAAACTGCCTAACGGATTAATGCATTTGGCTGAGTTTCCATTGGTAGCCTTTTAGGCATTTTATAAATAACTGAATTTGGTTGTGCTGCAATAGCCTGATAGACCAGACTAAATGCGAGATGAAAGGTGTATTTTAGTCTGGCCCCGATGAATGAGACATTGGAAGATTGTTGATGAGAACAACCCGTTGTTTTTCAAACCATGTCTGTGCCTATTGGCCAACGCTCTGACCAATGAGCTCAACTGACTGTGACGTAGTAAACGACAGGAAGCTGGTGGGGGAGTGTAAACAAACAGCCTGTCGATAAAACAGCAAATACGTCCTTCTTAAAAATGAATGAGCGTAAAGCCTCTTCCTGCTCACGTTCCAACGAAAACCCAAAGTCTTCCAAAACTGATTCCAAAGCTGAATCAAACGAGAACTGTTCAACAGTTGTTTGCTGGATACTTGTTGTGCTTTCTCCAGCGTCGCGCAGCTTCGCGTCACGCCCTCAAAATCCCGCCTGCTTTGCATCCAGAAATTCAAAACACACATCTGCGTTGTGATTGGCCCGTCAGTTCTAGGGCCTGGGGCATTGATCAAGGCTAGACCACAGGCAAAAAATATTTTGGCTGCTTGCGCCTGGGGCTAGTTTACTAGGCTAGTGCTAGAACATTCACTGGACATGACTGATCTGTATAAACTTTGGTGTTACTCTGACTTTATGCCTGGAGTAAATCAGACTCACTTGAACTGGATTCTGAGTACTTGGGTATAAATTCTGCTGTCAAGTAAAATGTTAACAGTGAATGACACTGCAGAGGGGAGTGGGATGAAAGTGCAAGCCCACTGCTTAACCTTGCAGGAATAAAAGCGGGCTTGTTGGGTATTATCACTCACATTTTGAGTACT